CTTGAGAATAAGAATCTTTGTTTGAGTTGTATCCATAATCAGGTGTCTACTTGTGTACAACTGTTAAACAAAGAAATGATACTTTAGGGAATGACACATGGTCTGAAATGGCAAAACATTGGGCCTGAGCCGAGGAGGTCTATTCTTATTGTTGTTTACCATTCTGTCCCCTTATACACAAGCTGTGGCAGTGTTTTAGTGACCACACAAATGACATGCATGGACCTTTGTACTCGATAAAGTTCTCTTCATTAGTATTCAACGGTTTGTTATATAATGAGATATCAATCGTTATACATAAAGATTACTAATGAGGATTACTTTATCAGAGATAAAGCTACATCCAAGTTATATAAATACTTAGAGCCTTATAAAGGCTAGTCTTGTGTATGATCACCAACTGTGTGTCAAATCCCATCCACTAGGGCCTGTTTTACAGATATCAATATGAACTTAGTGTAGTAAACACTCAGTTTTCTCAACGAATCTCTTTGACTTTTCCAACAGCTTGTCAGCATTTTAGCCAAGCATTATGTTGTCATAGTGATGATGCTGTCAAGTTCTAGCCAGAAGATAGATGACAGACAAGTAAGTTTAGATATTTGATATATCATGTTAATATTAACGTGCTTTGCATACATAGCAATAGACTCCTTGCACTGATTTCCTAGAGGAATTCTTCMAAGGGACAATATAATAGGCCGTCTTTGCTTATGCAACAAAATTCATTGTTTTGTCCCCCAGAACAATTATTCCTCTTGRGAYTCAGTGCAATTGGTCTATACATGATGGAATATGTGTATCTTATATTGGATGCTCAACTTGATTCATTGTTTGCAACTGATCCCAGCAATTGGAATTCTGGTTAGGGTTAATCCAAGCTTGATCAAAAAGACAATCAAAGTCTAATTGTAAGACTAGCATTCAATAAATAATAATAAACAAATGCAATTTAACAGTGGCAGTTCTACAGAGTGGCTCTTTATTCTCTGAATTCCAATTGGAATTTAGAAGTTGATTTTGTGGAGGGAGGAAAACTRGAGCACCCA